CCCCCCCCCCCCCCCCCCCAACTTAGAATTTAAGGCATTTGTAGACATTCTTATTCATCATTGACCCTTATAGTGTTTTATAAATGAATAAGGCTAATTGCATGTCATTTGGTCTCATTTAAGTCCATTGCAATTGCATGTTCTTCTCACCACAGATATATTGTCACTATGAGAATCTATCCTGCAATAGTGGAACAACAATGTCCTTTGTTAGAACAAAGGCACACGGAGGGAAATGCGCTTTCATTTGTTCTGTGTTTTCACTAGAGAGCAGCAGGGTGTCTGGTGATGCCAGATCCGTTTGCGTTCCAGCACCATGGACACGAATCTCCTGTCAGTTCTGCTTTATCCCAGACAACAGAGCCAATTCAGTTGTATTGTAGTAAGGCCCATGCGTTTATTTTCATTTTCTTTCTTTAATATGGGACCTGGAGTAGACTGACTTTGAAATAAGACCATGAGCAGAAACCAAAAAGCCAGAAAAAACATATAAAGTTTGTGGCACAATCCTCTAAAGTGAACTTCACTCCTCAAGATGAAAAGTAGAACAAAGTGGTTTTACAGTCTGATGTGATATTGGAACCTTTATAAATACAAAAATTGTTCTGTTTGTTAGAAAACTGATTTAAAGTGCTTTAAAGAACCCAGAAATGTTAATCTGAAGAACTTAAAATAATGCAATAAGAAAATGTTTTAATCTCCAAAGAACCATATAACAACTCAAGAACCGTAGAGCCACTAGATTTGGTTTTAAAGAGTGAGGATGATGTGAACCTTACAGCATCCCAGCTAACAGGGAACGTTCTCAGAACATTCTGACAAAGTTCTCTCAAAATTCTTTGGTTATCTGGTCTTCCGTAACGTCCTGAATCATAATTTATGCATCGTTCATGGAATGCTTTTCTGAAACATTTTTGGATGTTCTTCTAACTGTTGTTAAACATTAAAGACAAGTTTCAGACTAAAAAGTAACTTTCCCATATTATTTGCAAAATTATTAAATTTTCCTCTAACATTCATAAAATAAAATCGACCCAAATCCTGACTGAATGTAAGAGCCTCCGTTCGGGCCTGAGAGATAGGGGGATGAGGTGATACCCGGACTGTTCATCCACAGGTAGGGGTTGGCTGTGGCTGAGGTGTATTCGCCGAGTGCGTAGCTGGAAGGATGCGCAGGTGGCCTCTGCGCGTGGTGGTGGTGATGGTGGAGGTTCTGTTGGTACATGCTGAAGTTGGTGTCGCAGTACACGGTCATGTCCAGGATGTCCTGCGCGTTGTGGTGCTGGAGGGGACTGGTCTGCTGGCTCGACGGCTGCTGCCCGAACGCGTTCATAATCCGTTCTCCCTCTAGAAACATGAGTTTCACCGATCAGCCCCGGTGGGTGTTGCTCGTCTCTGAGGGTTTACTCGAGAGTGCCGAGTGCGCGTCAGGGGAGGGGTATTTAACCTGTCCAGGGCGCATGGAGTGAATGAGCTGCTGGTTGGCAACCCCTCCCACTGTCACACTTCTCCTCAATTAACTTCATCCAGTATGCATCAGTCTGGCGTCGAGGTCATTCATGTGCAAAAAAAAAGTGTTTAACTAAAGATTAAAAACAGGGATACTTACTCATTAAAAAAATTATAAATGAATAAAAAAATAACAAAAATAAAAATAGGTTATGGATGAGTGGCTATGGTCAAACATTTCATGTCTCAGTGGTATGTTCATTTTTAAAAGTTTTTGTGATACAATCTTAAAGTCTCGACTACAAAAATTACAAATAAAATAAAATAAATCCTACACTCTTAAAAATAAAGGTGCTTCACGATGCCATAGAAGAACCTTTTTGTCTAAATGGTTCCATAAAGAACCTTTAACATCTGAAGAACCTTTCTGTTTCACAAAAGCTTCTTTGGGGGGAAAGAAGGTTCTTCAGATTATAAAAAGGTAATAAAGAGATGGTTCTTTAAAGAACCTTTGACTGAATGGTTCTTCTATGGCATTGCTTGAAGAACCTTTTGAAGCACCTTTATTTTTAAGAGCATACTGAACCGTTTCAACGCTAATGCCCGGAGGGGAGAAAAGATACAGCTCGTACGATAGCGGGGCACGTTGTCACATTGTAATGGCTCAGTTGTTTACGTTAGAACCTGCCACTGGAATAATGGTTGCTAGCAGAATATAACAACTACAACTGTTAAAAAACGCACAACAACTAAACATGAAAAATTGAAAACGTAACAAAGCATAAAACAATTGTTTTCAACAAATAGCGTAATAAATTACATTAATTTTAAAACACAGCTTATCACTATCTGACATTCCTAATTGTTTTTTTTAAATAAGTAAAACCTGCCTTCATTATTGCTAGCCTATAACAGTGTAGTTTTATTGTTCAATAGCAGCAGCTATAACACAAATTTGGGAATTTAAGTTGGTAACTTAAGTGAATCACAACGTTATTCTAATTTAAGATGATTTAATTCTATGATTGACACCAATATATAGGATAAAGCAACTGTTAGAGAAAACAAGCATTTGTGTAACTAGACATTTTACTTAAAATCTCAATTGATGACAGCTGAAATAAACATCTAAATGATTTTGGGTGGAAATGGTGTTTGTCAATGAAACGAGACGTTTAGTTTGGACAGAAGGTAATGATGCATTAGCATCACTTAACATGAAATCAGTCTAATTGGACGAAACTCCCCCACCCCCATCCTATGTAAATGTACAGTACAGCTTATCACGAGAACTCAGTGAAGTTTCGCTTGAAATGGATACAACAGAAGAATCTAAATGAACAGACAGTTTTGGGAAAGGCGGTCAGTTATTCTGCTTTTGCATGAATTTGTAGGCTAGTTACATAGGTTTCTGATTTATACACTTGGCTTCTTTTCAATTATTTATTTATTTTACATTTTTGAAAATGCACAGGGCATTCATCCGACAAGAACATCTAATAAAAAAACAAACAAATAAGAATGTGAAAAATTATGGTCTACTTTGGAAATATTTGTCTCACTATAACTATTGTAGTCATAAATATGGTCTGGGGCATATAATTAATGCTAAAATATGAGGAATTATTAAAGTTTTTATAGCCTAAATTAAAAATTAGTCTTTCTTTCAGTCAATTTTATTTTTTTTTGTCTTTAACTAGTCTTTGTTCAAGAGTAAGCAAACATTTAGCCATATAACCTATATTATAAAAATGTGAGGATAAAAATAAAATAACTGAAAGAAATGATGGCAATGGTATTTTAAGTTTACATCATGTGCATGACATTCACATTGTGATAAAGCTGATAAAAGACTTCTACGGGCCTGGTGGAGGTGCAGAGATGCTTCTCTATCGCCACCTTCTGGAGTAATGCAGTCACAATAAAAAATACTCATAAGATGTAGCAAATGACAGAAAATTACAGAAGACCGACATGCAATGGCAAGCAAACCCTAAAACGCCCTTTGTCATCTTTTTTTCACATTTTAATCATTCCAGTTTAAAATGCAAGCTGCTTTTCTTCCTTTCTGACATGAAACGTCAAGTATTTAACAGAGATTCATTTATATCTTAACTGAACATGAGACATACAGTAGTATAAAAATAAGTAAATAAATAACCAAAACACATTCCCTTCATTTACATAAAGTATGATGCGATTTCAATAATAAGGGTAAATAAAAATGAAATATTATACATCTTTTTCTTGCAATATATATGAAAGGTTTTATGTGATAGATAGATTTGAAAGGAATGTAACTTTGTGACCTGATATTATGTTTCCTCCTTTATAGTGAGTAAAGTGAACACACCTCTTCTGTGAGTACTTAACTCAAACCACAACCACAGTCAAAGTTACTAGCCTTAAATAAACAAATACATTTTTTATTATTTATTTTTTATTTGCATCCTTTCCATGATAGGGACAGGACAGGGAACTCTGCACCCAGGGCAGCTGAGACAGGGAGCATCTAATGCGGTGACCTGGAAACAAAAGTAAATTCGGTAAATTTTAAGAAAAATAATGCAAAAAGGGAGGCGACATTTTAAAATGTATTAACAAGATTTTTTTTATTTGCACCCCTTTCATGATAGGGACATGAAAGGAAATACTGGTACTGAGGCAGCCAAAACAATGAGCTCTGGCACTAGGAACTTTTGGCGAGCTCTTGTTTTGGGGCAGCCAGGAGTACTGGAACTAGTGGTCTTTTCGAGAACTTCTGGTACTCAGAAAACATCACATGGAGAGTTTGGGACAGGCATGAGATGCAGCCATTACAGAAACTTCTGGGACCCGGGGCATACATCGCATGGAGCATAGCATCTGGGACAGTCATGAGAAGAATATCTGAGATTGGACCTTGTTGTCCAGGACAAGCTTTTGAGAGTGTGCATTTACGACAAGTAGCTTGAGGACCAGGTGGCCACTACAGGAGGTTCTGCTACCAGGGCAGCAAGACTTGGACACCTGGAGCACCATAGCAGGTACCTCTGGGACATCAAAGTTTTTGGCTTGTGTGGAACCATGAGAGGAACCGCTGAGGAACCAGGGCAGTGGAGCTCTGAGACGAGGATAGCCATTGCATGCTTTTAAGCTGCCCATGGCTGGTGAGCAGTGCAGATGAGACTGGACCTGGACTGATGCAGTCATGTTGTGGAGGCAGTGATGGGACAGAGTCATACACATCCCCAAGCAAGCAGTACCACCAGACACAAGAACTGCTGCTTCAGGCCATGGCGCAAGGCGCAACCATGGCCTGCCAGCCCGCAAGACACGAAGCTGACAGGAGACCCTAGAAATGTCTGGGGTTGGAGCTCCTTTTATCCACGACTTATATGGAGATCTGAAAGAAAATAGAATGCGAAACATTCGCCTAAATACATTACACTTAACTATGTAATTTCTTCCCATTCAAAATTAACAGCAAAATCAAATATGTAAAAACTGGCTGATCTTAGGCTCGGGTACCTGAAGCCAGTCGTGGTGAAGGATCTTCCCCAGAACAAGTCGCCGCTTGTTGGAGGAGGGCTCAAACGGCAGCAGTCTATGCAGAAACATGGGAGAGACATCTGCTTATGACCTGAAGCCTTTACATTTGAGCTATTTAGTTATAAGATCTAATCTGGAAGAACATTTGTATAATGTTTGGAATCAGACTTTTTTTTTGTGATCTCACCTATTGACAATCAAGGCTCTGAGAAAAAAACTATATACATACAGTATATACACATCCCCAAGCGAGCAATACCTCAAGACGCAAGTACTGCTGCTTCAGGCCATGGCGCAAGACGCAACCATGGCCTGCTGGTCCCGCAAGATGCAAAGGCTTCACAGAGGGATGGAAAGCCTTCCTGCCAGCCCGCAAGACGCAAAGCTGACAGGAGACTCTGGAAAACGAAACAAAAAACATTAGCGTAAATACATTTCACTTCATAAATCAAAATGAACAACAACAGCAAATGTGTACAAACTGGCTGATCTTAGGCTCAGTACCCTAAACCAGTTGTAGTGAAGGATCTTCCCCTGACTGAGCCGCCGCTTTGGTTTATGCTGCAGATCAAATGGCAGCAGTCTGTGCAGAAACACAGAAGCAATATCTGATTATGTCCTGAAGCCTTTACATCTGCATTTATTCAGTTGGGAGATCTGATCTGGAAGAATATTTGTATGATAATTGGATTCAGACTTATTTTCTTGTGATGAAGAGCTCACCTTTTGATAGTCCAGGCTCTGACCAAAGGTTTAGTTTGGTCTTCTGCAGGTCCTCGCCAGTTGGAAAACGGCCGCACAGCATCATGAATAAGATGACCCCAAGAGACCACGACATTGCAGACTTCACATGGTACTTGCCCTTGACCCTGTACTCAGGAGGGTAGTACTCCATGGTGCCTGGAGGGAAAAGATTTCATCTCGTATTCAAGTTTGCATTACCAAAGTATTTTCTCTGTGAGCTTTGAGGGATGCTACATACCATACAATGTCATGAAGGCAGACCTTCTCATGAAGTCCCCACACCCAAAGTCGATGGTGTCTTGTAATTGGTGATTTCTTTTAGACTTTTCCACACTGATGCTGGGTCACTGGAAGATAATTTAATCATTGTTTTTTTCTGAATAATTCCTCTTTGCCACTCTGATCTCCTTTTCCAGTGTGTATGTAGCCTGTTTATACAAGACATTATCCCCCTTCCTGTGAGCATCTTCTTTGGCCTGACGGAGCTGTCTGAGTTTTGCAGTGAACCATGGTTTGTCATTGTTGTAAGTTAAATGAGTCCTGGTAGGAATGCACATGTCTTCACAGAAACTGATATATGATGTTACAGTCTCTGTGTGCTCGTCCAGATCGGTGGCAGCAGCTTCAAAGACGCTCCAATCAGCGAGGTCAAAACAAATCAAAACAATCATCTTAACCTGCAGAGTGTCCTTGCTCACGATGAAGTTTTCCAACTTAATGTC